CTCTCTCTCTCTCTCTCTCTCTCTCTCTGTCTCTGTGTCTCTGCATGTCTTTGATCACAGGTTTGGAAAAAGGCAGCTGTCGAGCTGCTCCCTCCTACAGAGCAGAACAAACGCTATATTCATCTGCCCCTGAAACTCCCCCGAGCGACTTCAGGACAGACGGGGGGGAGCGCAATAATATCATTAATGCAGCTGGACGCAGACACGCACGCCGTCTGATCCGATCCACTGTCAGTTCTTACAATGTGGCAGATCTGCGGTGTCCTGATCGCCTGGGCTCTGCTGCTCATACTGCATGTGCGAGCTCAGACTCCAAACAGGTAAGTTTCTTCTTCAGTCATGAATGATGCCCGCGCACTGAAAACTCATGTATGATCACCCAGCTAGCGGCGCAGCGGACCTCACAAATATATGCGAAAACAAACAGCGTCGTGGTGCATTCATATGAAAGTTTTATAATTCATAATGACCATTTGAGGCTTTATTGTAGAAATGAATGCGGCATCGATGCAGGTATTTATTTTTCTTTCTCTTGTCTAGACAGACCTTCACGTGTGGTGGGAATATCACAGGACAGTCGGGTGTTATTGGTAGTCAGGGTTATCCGGGCGTCTATCCGCCGAATACCAAATGTGTGTGGAGAATTACAGTAAGTATGAAGAGACTCAAACTGATTTATCATGTATTCAGGTAAATGAAATGCGACTGTAAATGACGTTTTGGCTCTAATAGATAAAACCATATGTACATTTTCTGAAAGAAAATCAGTGCCTGGTAAAGAATAGTGTTAAAGTTGATTTAGTTTTAGGCTTTAAATACTGCAGCAAAAATAAAACATGATATGGCGTTGCCATGTTAAGTTAATTAGATTAAAGGGGTCATATGATGCTGCTAAAAAGAACATTATTTTGTGTATTTGGTGTAATGAAATGTGTTTATGCGGTTTAAAGTTAAAAAAACACATTATTTTCCACATACTGTACATTATTGTTTCTCCTCTATGCCCCGCCTTTTTGAAACGCTTCGATTTTTACAAAGCTCATCGGTCTAAAAAGCGAGGTGTGCTCTGATTGGCCAACTATCCCGTGCGTTGTGATTGGCCGAATACCTCAAGCGCGTGACTCTTCCCACATAGTGAGGTAGATATGTGGGGGCGTGTTCGAACGAGCCGTTTTAGGTAGGTGTGGCTAACTCTTAACTTTTATAAAGAATATCTCTTTGGATTTGAGACTTTAGTCTTTGCAACTTTACAGATCTTCTTTATGCACCAAGAGCTTGTAACACTCTAAAGAGAAAGGAAAAAATGAAATCGCATCATATGACCCCTTTAAAGAAAGAAAAAAAAACACCAATCAGAAGTCAGTATGGCAGAATTAACCAATCATCATGCAGATGTAGTGACATCATCGCTGTAGGTTCTTTTCCCGCTGTAGAATATGCATACTTTTTCTACATAAAAAGTCAATTAATTAAATTAAATAAAAAAGTGCCTCATATGAATTTATGTCTTTAATCCACAATCCATCCACTGTTGCCATTTTGCTACTTTTACACTGTTGCTGTGGGTTGTTTTGTAGTCCACGGGTTTGAGCGAAATGCTATTTTGACGCAAGGGAAAACCGCGGAAAAACTGTGATTGGCCTAGTTTTGATTAGCAATAGTCCTTTTACACATTTCCGGGTTTTTCAGCAGCGGAAGTCGTCATATTGGGTTAACTTCGAGAGCAGTGAATGGGAGAGTACCACGAATATATATTTTTTTGCATTCCCATTGGCTCAAATAGCAAAAGAAAATCTCCGCAATAGTGTTTTCACGACTTTCAATCAAAGGAAAAACATTTTGACAGAGACTGATAAGGGCAGTCAAGAGAGAAAGATGACAAATTTACCGTCCCTCCCATAGACGCTGCATTAGAAACACCCTCGCATTAGCGCTAACTACTTTTTCCGTAATTTGATACAAATGTGATATAATAAAAAGTATAGTGTTATAAATGTACATACATTTAAAGAAAATCGAAATATTAAAAAATTTAGAGGATTTACGTTGTTGATGACCGTTAAAATGCGTCATCACAGTCATGTGAAAAGGGTCCGTTTGGGCTGGTTTTGTTTCACAGACCTGGCAACCCTGAATCCATCTGCAGTAAACTTTCAGAGGAAAAAGGTACAAAAGCTGTTACTACTGCTGTACTCTTTCAAACGGTACTGATATGTATGATTTTGGTACTTATATGTACACTTTAGGTACTAGTATGTACCTTTAAGATACCAATATACCCCCTTAGGGGTAAATAAGGTACAGAGTTGTACTTCTTAAAAAATGTACCGCCTCAGCTTGAGACAGCTTTTATACCTTTTTTCTTAAAGTGATATATGTCCAGGAATGTATCCACAGAACACCTGCATTCATAAATAATGTACTTTATCTACAGAACTTCTTCATTGAATACAGTACATGCTGTTAAATGTGTCAGACACAGTGTGAACTGCACATTATTTACTAAGTAAAAAGCTTGAATCTAGACAGACAGATAAAACAGACTTTATCACTAATCAAAGCTTGAATGTGTCTGTATATTAAGTGTTTTAAAGGAACACTCCACTATTTTTAATAATATCATTGCGTAATATCATTGCGCCTGCTGCACCCATGGTGCGGCAGCAAAGTTCCTTGATTATTTCGCCGGAATGAGAGTATAGTTCCTAGTCATATCGGCCTAGAAAATCGCAACTTTTAATTTTCCGTTGGTCTTAGTACACGATGTAACTACAGAAGAGTCAAGTTTTAAATAGGAAAAATATAGAAACTCTTTGGTCTTTTTTGAGCGAGATGCTAACGGTCTAATCAGATTCAATGATCTATGCTAAGCTGCAGCTAAAAGTGCTACCGCCAGACCCGGAGATCGGCTGAATGGATTCGAAAACGGTAAAACTCAACTGTTTAACTCTAGGGGAGTTGGAAAATGAGCCTATTTTCAAAAATAGTGGAGTGTTCCTTTAAGGTGAAATAAGTAAAGTAAATGTATTAGGAATTTGAATACTGCTCTGATTTGCATGTACTGTAATGATGATGCAATAGAAAGTCATGGCAAGAATCAGTATGTGTGTGCTTTTGTTCT